TCTGAGTTTTGATGATTTTTCCCAAAATTGGCCACGAGGCGCAGCAAGTTGCGGGACTAGGTGACTTGCACCATACAAATTTGCCAACTAATATTTTTATGGACACGTGTACTTTTTTGGTAATCTGTTTGTCAATGATTATTTGCATCTTAAATTTTTTTATCAATTATATTTTTCATTTGCCACTTAGGGTTACCTGTACAGTGATGACATTTGACTTTTTTTTATTTTAAAAAAATTTTATAATTTTAAAGAAAATTTTTTAAAGTTAATAAACAAATATGCATTCATTGAGTAAAAATTCTTTTGTGCATGTAAAGTTAAATAAACCTCATTATTGTAATTCATACAATGTGTGGCACTACTAATATTTAATAACAACAATAACTTAACATGTGGCTCTACTAATAATAATATTATTATTTATTATACAATCATTCAATAGTTGTGCATTGTTTGATCATATCAATAATATTATTGTTAATATCATTGTTATTATTAATGACATCATTAACTTGAGAGAAACAATGGTTGATAAGTTGGCAGCAAAGAACATTGCAATCATCAAAAATCAATTCGAGTTTGTGCACCAACTAATCCTTGGGCTTTCTTCACATCAAATATTTGCCAAATCAGAAATGTTATATTTACATCAAAGGGTGTTGAGCTAAATCATAAAGAAAATTGGATATGTCCAGCGGTACTATGGTCATACACAAAAAAGTCACACCATTTCATTCTGAATACATATCACCAGAAGAACTCATCAAAAAATATCTTGGATATCACATTGGTATATATTTATATTTTATATAGATGACAAACAAAATTCAGCTATTACCAGAAGGGCCTACAGTTTATCTTTCTCAGACAATGAAAATGAGGAACAATACAACATATCAGGGTTGGCAAATTGACTGGTCCATTTGAGAATAAAATACTAAATATAGTTGAAACGTTACACTAATGGACCCAATGGACTACACATTTGCCAACTAATATTTTTATGGACACATGTTTGTTTATGTACTTTTTTGGTAGCCTGTTACAAAAAAATTTATCAATTATATTTTAACCATTTAGGGTTACTTGACATTTAACTTTTTTTTATTTAAAAAAATTTTATAGTTTTAAAGAAAATTTTTTAAAGTTAATAAACAAATATGCATTCATTAAGTAAAAATTCTTTTGTGCATGTAAAGTTAAATAAACATCATTATTGTAATTCATATATTAATATAAATACATTACATGTAAGTGCAATCGTTGAATAAGATAAAAATGATACAGCTCAACAAAAAAAGAAAGAAATCATACAAAGTTTTCATATTGTGGAATGGACTTCTCACAATGATTAATATTGAAAAACAAAACTTTCTATGTATTGGTACAACTCACTCATTCTTAAGATTTACTCCTTTAAAATAAATATACTCACTCAATTTTATTATTTATCAATTAGATTTTTTTAATGTTTTCATTTAAAAAGTTTATAATTTCAGGATAAATAGTATCTTTGGCATCCAAAGACCAATAAAAATACATATGAGCATAACCTTTAAAAGTTTTTGTGAATGTTGAATTATTATTCATTTTCAATTGTTGATTCAACAAAGAAAATTTTCAGGAGTAGCCAATAAATCATTTGTACCAACAATTGTAGCCAATTTTAATGAATTAGGCAGAATAATTGATATGTCATAAATTGATTCATTGTTCTGAGTTGATTTATCCTGGTACTGTTGGAATAAACTGATCTACTTGACTAATATAGAAGAGCATTAGAAAGAATAATAACACATATAATGTATTTATGCAAATACATTTATTTACCTGAATCCAATGAACAAGATTTTAATTACTTGCAGGAGCAGGAAAATGACCAGGGAAATTGCTATTTTCCAATAATTTAGTCTCACCAAATATAAATTTAAAACTGTCATTGTAATTTAAACTGTGTTCAATCAATTTATGTGAGAAATCCAATGTGTTCTTGAATAATTTAACTGGGAGGATTTTGATTAGATTGTCAGCTTTTATTTTACTTAGCAATTTGATTACTTTTGATTTTTGATTTTTTAATATTGCTGGTGGTTCTATCAACACAATACATTGTAAATCTGTTGGTGAGATTGATTCAATTATCAATGATGCTAAGATTTCAATTGCTCCTTTTTTTAAAAAGAAAATTTATTATTATTTTCATTATTACACCTAAGGTTTCCAGTCCAAACTGTTTCTCAAAGCCCAAACTAGTTTGGGCAATTTGGGCTTCTCAACATTTTCTATAAGCATGAACATTAAAAAACTATATGAATCAACTTGTTTTAACTTAAACAACTTTAAAATAATTTTGCCCAATTTCGGCTAATAACAAAAAGTAGTTTGGGCTTATAAAAAAATAATTTTTGCCCAAAGTATTTGGGCAATTTCGGCTACTAATAGAAGCAGTTTTGACCAGAAACCTTAATCTTCAAGCTAATAGAATTTAATTGTTGCATGATACAGTCAACCCCCCTCTAAATGCACGCTTTCATTCATTCCCAAGCTCGGGAATTAGAGATAAGTGCACTCCCCCTTCCCCCTGCACTGCATGTTCTTTTTTCATTCCATCTATATAAAACTCCCTCTCTAAGTGCTACTTTTTCGAAAAATTTTCGAAAAATTTTAATTTGACTTTTAAACATCATAAAATTATCAATAACAATTAGCCCGATGTGATATTTTAGAGTGTTATGATAATCATTTCAAAAAACATTTTCTTACTAATACACAACATCGATTTGCTTAGTAAAAAAACGAGTATTTGTATTACCCGTTTATTCGATTATTTTGGCGGATCATCAAGTGAGTCAATACTTTTTGTAGGGGTGTGTACTTATTATTATGTTCCATTGAAAAAATTCCGATTTTGTTAATATAAATTAATATTATTATTATTGTTGTGTTGTTGTTGTCGAGGATTTATTATTGGATTGTTGGAAAATCTTGGTGGGACAAGTATTTATCCAATTAGATTGGAAATCCTGGGATTGAAAGATGCCTTGATAAAAGTTCTTCAAGATTTTAATTTACAGGTGTGTATATTTTTTTTATTATAAAAAAATCATCATTATATTAAAATATTTTTGTTTATTTAGGCGTCATTGCAAGAAGGTTGTCAAAAAATTTTGGTTAATGACAGTGTTCGATGGCTAATCAACTTCACAAAGCACAGAAACGTGGCATTTCAATTGAAGGTTATTAGATGAGGTTTTTCCTCCAGAATATGTGTAAGAACTGATGCGAGAATATATTGATTATTTTCAATTTTAGAAAATTTACCATGTTCTATTTGTTCAGCACTTCTGATTGTAAGTTTATTTTTATAAATTCTATTTAATTAATATTATTTTTATTTTTATTGAACCAATTTTTATTTATCTAAAAATAAAAAAACACTACCCATCGACTTTAATACAGCAACAATTATATTTTCTGTCAACACACTTATCATGAATAATGTCTATTCAACAATGAAAATTTGACAACACTGCAAGATAGTATTAACAAACTTACCCTCAACAACAAAGGAGTAGGCTCAAAAGTTAGACATAATACTATAATAAGAGATCAGAGTAATTGACCTCAATGTCCCATATGTAACAACGATGCACATCATAATCATAATAATAAATCAAAAATCAAAATGCAGTCTCTTCTCCAAGAGGATACATTAACAGTTGTAGTCAACAAAATTTAAGAGATGACGATGGTATGTCACCAATGGTCACATTATGATTATAATTAACTTCGAAGTTTGAAGTTAATCTTAATTGAAAGAAAATTTTTTTATTTATATTTATATTTATGTAATTATTTTTTTTTTGTACTAATGAAAATAAACCAACAAAAAATGATTAACGTTTAGTTGATAGCTGGTGGTTTTATATTTAATAGTGGATATAATTTGTCTCTAACTTTTTTTATTTCTGGTATTGAATCATTCCTATTTATAATAATCAAATTAGTTATAAATAAATAGTATAAATTGTATAAAATTTTAAATCATAAAATACCAATCAGTATTAGTTAATATATCTTCAATTTGTAACATTTGTTCAGATTCTTCATTTTCAGCTGCTGAAGTAATTGTTAAGTATAATTGATCTGCTGTTGATCGTCTTATCTTTATATCATACATATATATAGACACAGGTATTAAAATGTCATCTTTAATAATTTTAATGATGATATAAATAAATTTTTTTTAGATCACCTTTGGAAATGGATGGATTAAAAGTGAAAGTAATTGAAATAATGCTCTATTTTTCACTGAACCGCTTAATGTAGTCATACCACAAAATCTAAAATTAAATTTTTTAACAATAAAAGGATATACATTTAATATATATATATATATATATATAATTATAATTATAAATAATATTTTTTAAACTTACACATGCATACAAGCCGTTAATTTTCTAATATCTTTGGTTTTTGTGCATATTTTCTTTGTGCACTCAAATAATTCCATGAAACTGGATCATTAAACTGGATCATTAATAAAATATTCATATTTTCTTGAGATAAATGATAATACAATAATCATACCTAAAATTATTTTGATCAATTTTTTGTAATATACCAGCCTCAAATAATAAATCTATAACTTCTAATAAAGGTATCACAATTCTATCCTGCTTTTCACATTTAATAAATATTTCAAGTAGTGTGTTATAAAATTCTATTAATGATAATGATTTATTTTCCAGTATTAAATTTATTGAATCATCATCATCATCATCGCCACCATCACTGTCATCATTATTATTATTATCATTATCATTATTACAATCATCCAAAGATATTGGAAGTTGATTTGCATATTCTACCAATGTGCTGCCTGAATATCTTATCTAGATTAATTGAAGATTGATCAATAAAAAAAAACTCAAAATGACAAATACTGTTAAATCAAAAAATATCTTACCAAAGATTCTGTTAATCCGCCTGCAGCAATCACTAAGCCTGTTAATAAATCAAATCTATATTCAGGTAATATTAATAATTTTATTAATCTTGGATATAACTCAGATGGTTTAATCCAATGAATTTCTTTGTCT